GCTCTTCAAATAAGCCCGGGAAAAAATAAAAACGATTTTACAAAATTTCGGTTTTTACCGAATATCTCCGGAAGTATTCGGAATCTTTCTAGTTTCAAAACGGCATTCTATTGGTCATAAAATTGCGCAACGTTGCCATAATTTAACCGACCCCGTATCTCTTACGGTAACCGAGATCCCAATGATGAGGCTCGAATTTGGGTCACCCTGTACATACATCAATAAAAAAAAAGGGGTAAAATGCAAAATTTTGCTGACAATAAGTGCCTACTTTAATCAAGTTTTATTTCAGGCAAATCATGTCCTGACTGTGTAGCAGCTTTAAATTCTGAACTACAAATATTTTTTAATTGTCTAATGGCTTGAGGGATATTTAATCTAAGTGTAGCTTTGAATGTGACTTTTGTTTTTACAAGAGGCAAATAGTCGCAAGGACCAATTTATTCACCTTCTGATAAACTGTCGGGTACAGATTATTATTATTATTATTATTATTATTTAAACAACAGCAAGCGGTAGAACCGATGGAGCTGCTGTCATAAGTTAAGTTCAGAAGATTGCTTTTTTTACGAGTTCACAAGATGATTGTTAAGTAGTTTACACAGAATAATAATTTTTGAACGAGTTGGTACTAGGAGCTGTGACTGTTTCTTCACGTATAGACCAGACCACCCTATTATACAAAGAAATTTCTTCTGAGAAATTCGGTACATCTTTCCTTCTCTAATTTTCTAGAGCGCTCCCTATGTGAGGTCTTGGGTTTCTGATGAAATTTCAGTAATTCTTCTTTGGACGTTTTCCAATGCCTCAATGTCCTCAGCATAATAAGGATTCCAGACTGACTGTGCCTAATCTAGTATGGGTCTGATTGTATATGGTAGGCCAGAGAATTAGCCTTTTTTTATACATTTTGAGACGTGCTTCTGATTGTTGGTTATAATGACGCCAAGATCTCTCTGTGCATAAGTAGATACCATCGTAATATTATCAAGTTTGTAATCATATAGGGGATTGTTCGTGTCAATGTGGAGTGCAGTGCATTTGTTTTCATTAAGGGTCAGCCAGTTCTCACATTACTCGAATATCGTCAGTAGGTCGGATTTTAGGTCTTCACTGCGGGTGATGGGATTGCAGAAGAGTTTGGTGTCATCTGCGAAAAAAATTACATTGGTTTTGAGATTAGTTAGCAGGGCTGGAACTCTGTAACGGATAAGGATCGTTATCCCTATCGCTATGGCACTTGCTGTCTTCTTCTTTCTTGTCGGAATCAATAGAGAGGGGACAGCAATAGAGATAGAGAAAATATCTTTATTTGTTACAGAGTTCCAGCTCAGGTGGCTTATACAAGGAAAATAATTTGTACAAGTACTGAGTCTTGCGGTACTCCGCTATGAACAGAATGTCCAGTCGATTAAGCGCAATTAACTCTAACCTGATACGTTGGATGGCTTAAGAAATTTTGGATCCGACCCAATACGTTGTTACGTATTCCAAAATGCTAAAGTTAGTATAAAATACTCTCCGAAGTCTAGGTATACAACATTGATAGGCTGTCCCTGGTCATTCGTCTTCGTCTAAAAATTGAAAAATGTTAGTAGGTTGGTTTCAGTTGATCTTTTAGGCAAAAATCCATGGTGTGAAGACGGAAGGATTTTGTTTTCTATTAGAAACTTTGTCCGTTCTTTAATGACTACACATTGTTACAAGTAAGACTTATAGGACTATAATTTTTTGAAAAAAAGCCTGTAGCATTTTTATGAATTGGGATGATGTGGGCTTCTCTCCATTTTTCCGGGACTCTCTCGCTACTCTTCAAGTTGGTCATTGTCTGTGCAAGGGGCGAGCTGATAGATTTTACACATTTTTGCAAAAATATTGTTGGAATGTTGTCAGGACCTGGGCTAAAATCTTTCTTGAGGGCGAGAATCGACTTCTCAATGATGTCCGGGGTAAGAACAACAGGTGAACAGGGTTGCATTGTTTATTGAATTGGCTGGTAGAGGCGTTATATTATCCAAAGGTTCTCGTGTAAACACTTTTTCAAAGTGATCAACAAATACCTCTGCAGTAGTCGGTAATGATTTCCTCAGTGTGTTTGTCCTTTTAAAGTTTTGAAGTGCAGATTCCGTCTGCTATATGAAAATAATAATTATTTAAATAATAATTGTTCTATGAGCTATACATATAAATCTATTTTCTGTAAAGGTCTTGATGATTATAATAATTTAGATAAAAATGATAAAAACACAGAAATCATAAATTTAAAAAATGTTAAAAAAAAAACTATGTGGAATAACTGATACGTGCGTTCAATTAACCACTGACTGATTTTTGACACTGGCGACTGGCGTTTAATTTATCACTGACCTTCTCCGTCAGCTGCCGATTCCGTTCTTTGGCGCGTCGTTGCGTCTAGATAATTCACTGGACTATTGCGCGGTGAAATTCCATCCGCAAATTTTCTAGTCATCAGATAGTCTTGCCAGATTCTCACAAATAACATTGTAAATCCTTGCCGTTTGTTTTTCCTCATTCTCTTTCTAGTTTCACAAACAGCATCGTAAACCGACAAGAAGAACCAGATGAGTTATGTTTTTATTATCTACTAAAAATAAATCATCAACAAACTAAAGTGACAACAGCTATAATAAGTAATTGTCCAATAATTATCGTCAACCACCTTGAAGTGTATTCTTGGGTGATACATTTATGTAGGTATTCGCTTTCGGTTATAATATATTGCGCTGATAAGGCAGTGCGGAAATTATCATTACAAATTTGGTGTATAAACAAAAACGAATCGTGACAAGAACATTAATTCTATTAGTTAGAAATATTAGCTTGTAAAGTTGTTTTTGTTGTATTGCGATTGTTTTATCTCAGGGCTAAAAAAAATGAAATGTCATTCTTGCGTTACACATTCTGATGATATTGATCGTTAAAATAGTTGCAATGAAACTATTCAAATCGGCAAAATCTGACAAATTTCGAATGAAAAATTCCGACATTTTTTTAGTCCCATTCCTGATTTATATGATTATTGAATCACATTTTGTTGTCAATATAAATTCCAACCAAGATTTCTTATGACACTGAGCCTCTCCAAGGATTGATTGCTTATATTATAATCAAACTTTGACTACCTACTTCCTCGATGTACTGAGAACCTTAAATTTTCCAAAATTCAATTCCATACAATGACCCTCACACCATGCAGCTAATTCTTCAGACAAATACAATCCTTAGCAAAAGCAACCATTGGAAACACCTATACATCATCAGCAAATAAATTCTTACCGCTAAACCCAAACTGATTCATTAGATCGTTGAAAATCTGAATAACAATAAGCATTTAATTGTGATAATAAAAAAGAAGAAATCTGGCTTCATAGATAATTTTTAAAGATGGTATTCCAGGCCACCATTTCTCTGTTTGTAAACTGCTTAGTTGCATTGGGTTTTACAGTGTCTACACAACACAAGAATGTTCCTATTCTGAAAATCTTATTGGGTGTTTCAGTTTTCAATCTAACAATATCTAATTCTTTATTGTTGATGAAGTAGTTGTGTTTTGGGCTTTGGCCACTATGGATAGCTGGCGCATTTCATATCATTTTCAAGGTATTTTTCTATGCTTATCAGGTCATTATTTAGGTAACCTTCATTCAATTTGTATTTTGTTAAGGTTATAATTAGACTTGATCTAATTAGAAAACATGGCACGAACATCTTAATTGCCAATGAACCAATAAGGATAAATAATTGATATTGGAAGTAGCGATTAGTAATTTAAAAAATTTATGACCTTTTTCTTGAAAAATAATTCTATTATTAGTTTTTCAAAGAAAATCGCGTCCTTACTTATAAAACGGGAAGCCAAGAGTTTTGGTTTGCACATAGAAATTACTATAGCAAATATATGTATAAGTATTTTAATTGATGTCCTTAATTAAAAATAATTTGTCAGGAACTAGTATACTTTCATCCGGAAAATGGTGTTTCCTTTTCCTTGAGTGCACGTGTATATTATAGTAAATTTTTCTCAAAATTTACCTAATCCTGCTACTTACCCTTGATTGACAGTTGAATTAAAAAAAAAAAACAAATTGAGCGGATAAACAATCAAAAACAACTTATTCTTTATCTGGACATATTTTTATTGTTAAAATAACTGTGATAATAATTACTATTTAGTAGCTTTTTAATAACACGTTTTTGTTTTTGTGACTGATATATTATTTAGTGGTAAGTCCTTGGGCTTATCAGAATTGCTCAAAAAAAATGGTATTGAGTGCAGAAATCTATTCGTGTCTTTTTGGTTTTGAATGTGAATATTGTGGTAAAAGGCGAAATACATTGATATTGTCAATTGCTAAGTAGGTGAATTTGTAGCTAATTAGAATTAAAATCTTTTTCATCAGATTTCCTCCCCATCCAGAAGGATCAAGGAATGAATATTTAACAAGATTTTCCTACTCCCATCTTTGCCTTATGTAAAGAAAAGGCAATTATTTCTATAGGCAAATTTCATCTTCCTTTTCTTATGTCTTCAGTGCTTTGCAATAATTGATGGAGTCAAAACATTTTTACTAAAAATATTCAGCTAAAATCAATAGCATTCTGTGCCCTTCACCTCTAATCAATTTAAAACGAGTAGCGATTTATTGCATTAATAAATTTGCACGTTGACAATAAATGGAAACATTAGATTACAAAATACCCATCGATAGCCAAGGTATCGTCTTTGACAATTGCGAAACTAACAGCTGTATGCAACATCCTCTTTTAACTTAAAAGCGCTTTTTGAAACTGGTCACTTTTAAAAATGTGTATTCTAAACCATACAAATTTTTAAAGGTACCAGTTTTAGAAAGCGCGTTTAAGTTAAAAGAGGATGTTGCATACAGCTGAACTAAGTGTTTTAGTATTTTCTGCAGTATTAGAAAATTATTGGTCATATCAAGTTCAAATCAATGCTAGAAATCTTTTTTCTATTTTAGATGGTATTTCCGAAAAATCAAACGAATCGAAGCAGAAAAAAAACTATTACTTCCAGAAAACGAACATGGTGCATTTTTGATACGTGACTCTGAGAGCAGGCATAACGACTATTCTTTATCTGGTAACTGAAATTAATAATTCAATTTTTACTCCTATTAACACAAAACCTTATATTTCAGTAAGAGATGGAGATACAGTTAAACATTACAGGATTAGACAGCTTGACGAAGGTGGATTTTTTATTGCCAGAAGAACAACATTCCGTACATTACAGGAACTTGTACAACATTACAGTAATGATGCTGATGGCTTATGTGTTAACTTATGTAAACCTTGTGTACAGGTAACTACTTTTATTGTTTTTTGAAATCTAGACACATCATATTATGGGATAGAGGAATATTACTTAAAACAATAAGAGGGAATTTTAATTGTTCAGCTAATTTAATTTATTTATCTCGCTGCTTTCGCAGAACGATTTAGAGGTATGTTTGTTCTATGGGGATTAGTGTTGTTTCTCCTTTTCTTTTACTTTTTTTTTGGCTAAAATAGTTGAGAATAAAACAGTCCCTCTCTAAAGAAAATTAGCTCCAAAGAATACTAGAAAAATTTTAATTAGTTTAAACTGTTGTATCTTTGACTATTTTCAATAGTTAGTTACTTTTGAGTGTTAGGTAGTGATGGTCAAGATTCTTCTTTTTTTTCTGTACTTTATATGATCTGGATTAAAATAGCCACAGAACTGAGTAATTATTATTAGTGATAACCTTAGTTAACAGGCATGAGACTATAGTAAAAGTTAAAAATATAAGTCTGCCAAATAGTTTTCATTATAATCCAAAGTGGTCCAATTAAGATTCTATGAAGTATAGATGAAACTAGTTTTTTTATCTATAGGTACCCTACGATTACAATTTTGCCAATGTTTTCCTTTTTTTTTTAGGTTGAAAAACCACAACCAGAAGGCCTATCACACAGAACGCGCGACCAATGGGAAATAGAACGTACTTCGCTCAAATTTATAAGAAAATTAGGACACGGTCAGTTTGGTGAAGTGTGGGAAGGTATGTGGAACAATACCACTCCTGTAGCTATCAAAACTTTGAGACCTGGAAGTATGGATCCTAAGGTATGTGTACTTAGCTAATGAAAGATTTGGAATATTTATGAGTTTTTCTATAACAGGATTTCCTTGCGGAAGCACAAATAATGAAAAAACTTCGCCATCCGAAACTAATTCAGTTATACGCCGTATGTACTGTTGAAGAACCAATTTATATTATAACCGAACTGATGAAAAATGGTTCGCTTTTAGAATACTTACAAGGCAAAGGAAAGGGTAAGAGACAAAACATATTTTATGTATAATTATAATTCATGAATGAATTTTCTTAGGACTCAAACTTCAACAATTGATCGATATGGCAGCACAAATAGCCGCAGGAATGGCCTACCTTGAAAACCAAAATTATATTCACAGGGACCTCGCTGCCAGGAATGTGCTTGTGGCCGATAGTAATATTGTTAAAATTGCCGATTTCGGTTTGGCACGACTCATAAAAGTAAGTAATATGTTGCCCATTGTAAACTTACTTCATACATTTTTCGAATTTTTGGAAAAAAATGCTCAGACTTTTTGTTATTTCATGTTTTAGAGGGCATTTTCTGTACAGGGTGGCCCAAATTCGAGCCTCATCATTGGGATCTCGGTAACCGTAAGAGATACGGGGTCGGTTAAATTATGGCAAAGTTGCGCAATTTTATGACCAATAGAGTGCCGTTTTGAAACTAGAAAGATTCCGAATACTTCCGGAGATATTCGGAAAAAACCGAAATTTTGTAAAATCGTTTTTATTTTTTCCTGGGCTTATTTGAAGAGCAATTTTAAAATAAATGTCACTTCATCATTTTCACTTTTTCCCCTTTAGAAGATGGTGCTACTAAATTTAAAATTCGACGTTTCGTCTTCAGGCGGCCATCCTCAACTTCCTTTTTTTAAATAGGGACCTGGATTTTTTATTTGCGATTTTGTCATCTTTGGGCATCCTAAAACCGATAAAGTTTATAATTTTTCAATAACACGGTAAAAAAAGCAGGTCCGTATTTAAAAAAAATAAATTGATGATGATTCCAGAGGAATGAAACGTTAGATTTCAAATTTAATACCGCCATCTTGTAGAGAAGAAAAAGTGACAATGGGAATGTAAAATTAGTTTTTCGCAATCTTTTTAAATAAAATCAGGAAAAAATTGAAACTATACGAAAAAAACATGATTTCTCGTTTTCCTTAAATTTTTTCCTGATTCCGTTTAAAAAGATTTTGAAAAACTAATTTCACATTCCCATTGTCACTTTTTCTTCTCTACAAGATGGCGGTATTAAATTTGAAAGCCAACGTTTCGTTCCTTTGGAATCATCATCAATTTATTTATTTTTTTTAAATACGGACCTGCTTTTTTTACCGTGTTATTGAAAAATTATAAACAGTATCGGTTTTAGGATGCCTAAAGTTGACAAAATCGCAAAATAAAAAATCTAGGTCCGTATTTAAAAAACGTAAGTTGAGGATGGCCGCCTGAAGACGAAACGTGGAATTTCAAATTTAGTAGCACCATTTTCTAAAGGGGAAAAAGTGACAACGATGAATTGACATTTATTTTAAAATTGCTTTTCAAATAAGCCCGGGAAAAAATAAAAACGATTTTACAAAATTTCGTTTTTTTCCGAATATCTCCGGAAGTATTCGGAATCTTTCCAGTTTCAAAACGGCATAAAATTGCGCAACTTTGCCGTAATTTAACCGACCCCGTATCTCTTACGGTTACCGAGATCCCAATGATGAGGCTCGAATTTGGGCCACCCTGTACTTTTGTCCTCCAACCAAGCTACAACACTTAAAGTGGGTGTCAGTAAATGTCAAACCAAAAATCTTAAATGAAAGGGGAGTTATCCTTTTCTCTGATAGATAATGGGAAATTAAAGCAGAAAATGTATTTAAATTACTTGCAGAATACTGTTTTAGTCAAAATAAAATATATACAAAATATTGAAAATGTTTGCCACGATATCTGTGTGTAATTTTTCCTTATATTTACACAATAGGCCACTTTCACATCTTTCAAAAACATTTATATTATTGTCTTAGTCATCCTTATAACATCTTTATACTTTTTTTTTCCCAAAAACAAACCCTTATTCTTGTAAATCGAGTTTTTAAACTGCTGAGAAAACGCAGGCAAGGACTATGACGTCAGAGTCCGTAAAATCGATAAAAATGCGAGACCGGTGTGAAGTTAGCAGCCAACCCCTATGCAAAATCCCATTGACTCAAACCCTTAACCTTGCATTTCTTAGTATTCAAGTCATTTATTCTACCCCAGAGAACACAGGAATGGGAATCTGGAAACCTAACACTTTGAATATTGTGTCATTGCACACCTGTGTTTCCCAGTTTGTCTGCATGTGTGTTCAGACAAAAAAATTGAGTTTAAAATATTTTAAAATGTGACTATTAGGCAAGAGGTGTCTGAAAGGCAAAAAAAGTCTTGTAATTTGATGTTGTTCAACTGTCCGGAGGTCAATGAAAAGATTATTTGTCCAGAGCTTATTACAGGATCTTGTTGGTTCTCCTAAAACTGTTGTAAGTGCAATGAGAATCGGAAAACGTAACAAAAATGATAATAAGTCCTTACGACTGGTTCTGGAGTCCGCTGAAATGGTTCACAGAGTGCTGAGGGGCAAAAAAAAATATAGACCGGAACCTAAAAATATTCTTGGAGGCCGACCTTACAACTGAACAGCGCATTGAGAGAGAGACAACAAAATGGAGAGCCTGATCTCATTCTAGAGTACTCTAATGGCATTCCTGCACTGGGATCACAGAACTCGACTCGATATAATCGAGCTCACTCGTTATCGTCTCTATAACTTTATTCACAAACCCCGATCGAGTAGAGAATCGAGTGTCTCGATTTTGCCTAACTTCAGTTCGGTTTGGAAAGTCTGTCATGTAGTAACCAGTACAACCGACAAAAAGTCAATTTTGTCGTTTTTTTGCTGGCAAGTTCGAAATTCGAATTCCTACCTGCATAACAACCTATACATTCTCATGATTGTGCAGTGCAGTGTATACTCAATTATTGTCCCTAGGTCTAAGTGGTTTTTGAATTTGATTTTGCATACAAATTAAAAATGAGCCTTCAAGACCGACCTTAAAACACTGGGAAATAATTTTAGATAATTCTTAGATAACCTGGATAGTTCAATAAATCTCCTTTCAGGCAGTTCAAATGGTTGTTGATTTTTCCAAAGCTGTTCTCTCGTGTCCACTTTTTTGAAACTGGTTCAAAACAGGTTTGAAATAGTATATTCTCGCGATGAACCCATAACCCATGACGTCACACAATGTTGGTTCAAACCGTTTCGAAATACAATTCAATCCACGTTTTCAAACCATATAATCGCGCCGAAAAGTTATGATGTTATTGTGAAACTGTTTTAAACCAGTTTTGAAAAATGTTTCAGAACTTTGAGACGTGAGAAAACACCTCTGAGTTCTCCACGTCCAAGGATAATAGACACCACTACACTGAATTGCTTATCGGCCCCATTTTTGTGAATCGCGGCCATATTGTGTAGCAACATTGACGACGTCATCAATTACGTCGTCAGCTGTTTGCACCAGCGGTCGTAGTTTAGAATATATACATTCATGATGAAAAATATTATTTAATTTTGAATACCATAATGGGCAAATAGGAATATGCAAACGAGATCTAAAAAAGCATTGTTTTAGAATGTTAATTATTGTACTCGAACCGGAAGTATGCCTAAAGCAAAAGCCCGCAGAATCATAACCTGTGGTGCAAACAACCTACGTCAAGACGAGAAACGACACGCTGGTTCTTTGGCGTGGTGGGCGGCTTGAGATTTGATCTACACAGGCCTTATGATGACAAGCTACCCTGTAGTAGTAGTGTGCTAGTGTGCATTATCCTTGCTCCACGTCAACGAAACAACATGAGATTTTCCTGCCTTCTTTGACATATACAAGAAGTGATCACGAAAAATTAGCAGCATAATTATTTGAAAATTTTGAAACATTTTTTTTTTATTCGTGAAAAAAATGAAATTTCCACTAGCACTAAACCTTTTCCATATGTATTTCAGAGATCGTCAGTTTAATTTCAGAAAGCGTCAATTGCAATTGAGATTAGTAAATTGTAATTCGGAAAGCGTCAATTGTATTTCAGATTAGTTAATTTTATTTGAGAAATAATCAATTGTATTTCAGATTAGTTTATTTTATTTCAGAAAGTGTCAATTGTATTTCAGATTAGTTCATTGTAGTTCAGAAAACGTAAATTATATTTCAGAAATTGTCAGATGTAGTTCAGAAATCATCAGGTATCTACGCAGATTTTCCCAAATCAACACAAGATAGGTGTATAGGTGACTCATTATAAATTTTATTTAATACACTACATTGATAATATCTGAAATACATTTGACGAATTCTGATATACAATTTACAATTTCTGATCTACAAATAAATAATCTGAAACCCAAATGACGATTTCTGAAATATAAGTGACCAAACTGAAATACAAATGACTTTTTCTGAAATATAATTGACCAATCTGAAACACAAATGATATTTTCTGAACTACAACTGACAAAGTTGAAATACAAATAACACTTTCTGAAATTGAACTTACACAACTGGAATACAATTGATGCATTCTGAAATACTTATGGAAAAGGTGTAGAATTGATGAATCTGAAATACAAGTGATACATTCTGAAATACTTATGGAAAAGGTGTAGTTTTAATGGGAACCCAGTAACATTAGTTACTACTGTAGTTAAAAATAATAAATTAATACCACAAAATCATAACAAAAAACACTGTTATAACCGGAAAATAATCAACTCGACTCCTCCAATGCAGTCGAGAGATTTTCGTAGAGTCGTGTCTATTAATCGAAGCTCGTGAATGAAATTTATCGAGTATCGACCAAACTCGATAGACATAAGTCGACAATCGAGTCTCGTGATCCCCCAGCTGAACTGGTAAAAAAAAAACTAAATAAGCCTTCCCTTCAAAAATCAACAATCATGTCATCTCTGTTGATATATCGGGTCTTCAAAAAAAAAACCAATCAAAGATTGCTTTGGTTACGAAAACGTACGTCGCATTATTGTTTCTTTATTGGTCAGGATTTCTGACATAACATTTTGACATTAAAGTTCATTGACAAAATTAAGGAAAAATATTGCTAAGACATACGTTTAAAAACCCATAGCAATCTTTGATTGTTTTTTTTTTGAAGACCCGATATCTTCAGAATGTAAGAGGATTGCGCACAAAGCTACAATTTCTTTTTGAAAACGTGTCATATTCTCAATATGACATCCTAGTCTTGAGTCAAACATGGTAGACAAATGACATAGACAGCGTGGAGCTACAAATGTTTAACTACAATATATACCGGAAGGATAGATCCACTGATACTAGTGGCTTCACAAGAGGGGGAGAGATTCTAGTCGCAATCAGTAAAACTATCAGTAGCAAAATTTTACCAGCTACCAAGAGCATTAAACAACTGTTTATTGAAATTAAATTCAATAAAAGCAAATTCATCTTTGCCACAGCTTACTTTCCATCCAGGTGCTCCTATGAAAAATATGCAGAATTTGGTGAGAACCTAGAAAGACTATCCAAAGAATACCCAGACTTCAGGTTGTGGTCTTAGGTGACTTCAACCTACCCAACATTCTGTAGACCAAGGAAAAATTGGCTTCAGTTGCGACTCCTCTAGCAGGATGCACTCGGGTAGTTTCTCACCTTTGCTCCTACCACAACCTGTTTCACTGAACACTCTCCGTTATGTCAACAACGGCTTTTTGGATTTAGTATTTTTACGAGAGAGGGACGTCGTGATTGGTGAGGCAGGCTCTACTGCCAATGGACCCTTATTACCCACCACTATCCTTTTCCATACAATGTGAATTTATTCATTATAACAGCTCTAGTCTCAAGGGTGACAGCTATTATAGGGACTTTGAATCAGTAGACATTGACGCAGTGATTACTTTTTTATTCCAGTTCGAATGGGACAAGTTATTCAATAAGAAATCTCTTGGTGACATGGTCAACATATTTTACGATATTGCTCACTAACAGTTGATATTTTTGTACCTTGAAAGAAAATTTCAACTTAAAAATTTCCCATCTGCCTTTCTCAAGAACTAGAAAAAAAGAACAAACACAAAAAATATCTTAACTCGGGGTTTTATTCAGACTATAATAAGTTTTCTAATTTGAGAGTAAAATGTTAATCTTAAAAAACGCAATGTTATGTTAATTATATTTTGTTTGCTGAATACTTCTCAAAAATGTATAGTGACAAGGACTGTACCCTGAATGACTCTCTACCTTCTGGTGACATCAATCTTTCCCATTTCAATATATCAATCTCATAAATTTATGAAATGTTGGAGATAAATGAAGGACCTGGTCTGGATGGTCTCCCACCAAATCTAATCAAATATTGTAGTTTCATCTTTTCAAGACCACTTCATATTATCTTCAATTCCCCTAAAATCTGGAATTTTTCCAACCCACTGGAAAATAAGCTTCATTACTCGGTATACTAAAATCAGGTGATAATTCTCAGGTCAATAATTACAGGCCTATCAGTATTTTGAGTTGTATTCCAAAAGTTTTTGAAGGTTTAGTCTGCGACTATTTGTCTGCTAGTCTGAAGGATTTCTTCATCAACCAGCAAATTGGATTTCTCCCCTACCGCTCCACTGAATTAAACTTGCTTACATTTACAGATTTTCTCTTGGAATTCATTGGAAGAAGGGTCCCATGTGCATGCCATATACACAGCCTTCACGAAAGCCTTCAACAGAGTAAACCATACAATCCTAATGAATAAATTGAGACACATTGGAATTCAGGGAGAGCTTTTAGAATGATACCTTACAGATAGAACACAAATTGTACGCATCCACAACTTACACTCCACTGAAATTAAAGTTCCATCAGGTCAGGTCACATCTAGGACCCTTACTCTCCAATTTTTACGTAAATGATATTGCATCCTGTTTCACGTTCGCATTTTTCTTACTATTTGGAACTAAATATTAATAAATGCCAATTAATGATATTTAGCCGTGGAAGAAATCCCATCCATCAAGATTATGATATAAAAGGCGCGCCCTTATTGCTGGCTTCTCAAATGAAAGATTTAGGAGTGTTGGTTGACAACCATCCAACTTACACGCAACACTTGTCATCAGTTGCTTCTAGTATTGGGCTTCATCAAACGCTGTACTAAGGACTTTCTAAATATCCCTTCTCTCTAAGTGCTTTTTTGTTCCTTGGTGCGTCCACATTTGGATTATTGTTTTTGGGTGTGGTCTCCCTCTTATAATGTCCATATACTGGGAACATCATAGAGTTGATAACATAAATTACCCTGAATTGAAAAACATCCCTTCAGGTTCGTCGTATGCACAGAGATCGCTCTATGTTTTATAATTCACTTCATTCAAACTCTCATGGCCTTGAGCTCACAAATAAAATTGGGTTTCATGCTCCCTCTCGCTAAACCATACTAAACCATTTTCCTTCCAAACTGATTCCCATCGTACCAACTATAGCCATAACTCGTTCCTGGCTGGATCAGCTAGACTAGCAAATAAATTTTCAGACGATTTAGACTGTTTTCAAACTCAAAAAATATTCAGGAAGGAACTGAGGGGCTGTCTGTGAGCTCCTATATGTAACTAAATTCATTGAAACAGTATTATTTTCCTTTCTGGCACTACTCTCATTGCCTCTTTTTATTACTTGAATACCTTGTTTTTAGAATTGTTATGTTGCTGTTCATGGGTGTTTACTGTTGATTGTTCAGCTCTAGGATAAATTGGATTTGTTATAGTTAGGTTAGGTCTTGATTAAGTTTAAGTATTGTTATTATTAACTTTCTTTATATCGGGCAGCTACCCTTTGAAAAATAAAATAAAATTAGGCACATTTCAATTAACAGAAACATTTTTGTAATTCAGGAAGACGAATACGAAGCAAGAGTCGGCGCTAGATTCCCCATAAAATGGACTGCCCCAGAAGCTGCCAACTACAGCAAATTCTCAATAAAATCTGACGTCTGGTCGTTTGGTATCCTCCTAACAGAATTGGTAACATACGGACGAATACCATATCCTGGTAAGAATAATATTATATACGCAAAATAATTTGTTCACTATAAACAATTTCCTTTTAGGTATGACTAATGCCGAAGTTCTCCATCAAGTGGAGCACGGTTACCGTATGCCGGCGCCGCCCAGTTGCCCGCCGCGTCTCTACGACATCATGCTGGAATGCTGGCATCGCGATCCGTTACGAAGGCCCACCTTCGAAACCCTCCAATGGAAACTAGAAGACTTCTTTACAATGGAAGGGTCCGAGTACAAAGAGGCTTCGGCTTACTGAGGAATGGCCCACCCCCCAACCGACTGGTTGTGTAATACTTTAGAGTTGCACTATCATTGATTAGGTTGATGGGAGGTGGTGGTATTTTTCGGTCTTGGTCTGCTTGTGCGTGGGTCGTTGTAACATTGAAAGAAAATGCCGCGAATTTTTTTTTGTCAGTGTATTTGGAGATGCACTTTACATTAGAATTTTGTTGTCAAATCATAAGAGCTATAGTATAATTTTCTCACTTAATTGACTGTAAGGCTACCTTGGGAACATAAGAAACTTATGTCTGAAATTACCCTGTGACTGCGCATCATCTTATTCACTAATAGCATTTTTACAAATCGAAGATTTACATTGTTTATCAACTAAACTTTATTAGGTTTTAATTTCTTCTTTAGCTCTTATTGTATTCTTTGAATATGTGTATTTGAAAAATTTTCATGTAAACTGCATTTTACCTACGTTTTTTTTACCAATTATTTTAACATTCTTTAAATTTATTTTTATACTTTATGTTTGTCTTTTTACGGATTTATATTAAGCGTAAAATTGAATTTTTTAAACAAATTATTTATGTAAAACAAAAATTGTCTGATATTTATACGGAAATTTGTGACTGGTTCGTAATTAATTGTATTTTGTATAAAGAATTTTGTTTTGTTTGTAACTTAGTGTTGTGCGTATTTAAACAATTTGGAATAACGGAATATTTCATTATTGATTGATAATCCGGGGGCGGCTACGATTTTGGGTACTTCTCTTTGATTCAAAGGGCCTAAGGGTATAAGATTTATATACAGAAAGGACCAGGCTACTAGAATGAGATCAGTTGACTGATACCCATTTCACTGCAGGATCGTCATGGTGGATCTTTGATCATTCCTGCAAGTTATTAAAATTCGTGTAGCTTGGCTAAATCGGGTACAGGCTAATTATTTGTCTGATTACTCCCTATGTGTCTAGTAGGTTGGTCCGGTCTGTATAAGCTTTCTGATATTTTTTGACTAATTTATTAATTCAAAATGTTTATTCAGAATTAGTCCTAAGTATCAGAACTAATCAGAAATCCTTGATGGTTTTTATTTACAATTTACTGCGCATATTTACAAAACGCAAAAAAAAAACAACCATACGAGATTATGGTACAACTTTTATGGGCTGATGAATCCCGCTCAATTAACTTTACTAAAGATATTCTCCGTCGTTTTTAATTTGACACTTTCCGTATGAGGAGCACGGGAGTGAAGCATATAACAACAACAGGTGAGAGGTGTTGGTGACCATTGGAGTTCTAATGTAGGGAGCCACCAGCTCACATTCCGTTGGAGTATCAGATTAAAAGCGACTGACTGTACTAAAGTTTCTGTCAATTATTGAAGTTACAACATACAAAATCGTCGCCACTATTCGTTCTATAAACCAATTTACAGTATTTAATTGAATAATGCACACACAGTGACAATTTTTAAATTACAGTGCATAATACTAATTGTTGTTTAGCCAATTTTAATGGATAAAGGACCCTACCCAAAGTATACGGAAATTATGTTTATGTCAGAATTGGCTGAATTTTGTATATAATATAGATTACGCCTTTCTGATTAAAAGTTACCATTGCACCAACTCTGAAAAATGATTCCTTTTTGAGAAAATTACGCGCCACAAGCTTACCTTTTCACGCTACATTGAACATTCGTTATAATTTCTAAGTGTTTTACTTGCCCCCTATAAAATTATTTTTTTTCAAAAAGGAGTCATTTTTCAGGATTGGTGCAATGGTAACTTTTAATCAGAAAGGCGTAATCTATATTATATCCAAAATTCAGCCAATTCTGACATAAACACAATTTCCGTATACTTTGGGCAGGGTCCTTTGTCTTCTGGCATATTTAAAAGCAATAAACCTCGTTTATTGTTTAACTCTTTAAAATAGCAATAATTGCTATTCAAGGCCGTTTTTTACGAAAAGTACACAACTTGAGATTATGGCCAAAAATAATTGTGACAACGCACAAAGTAGAACTGCCATTAGTTTACGAGTGTGAACAATATTGTACTAAAAAAAAATGTGTGATTCGGCTCTGGAGTGCAGAACAAAAAATTAATGTGCTATTATTTTTACACTCTCTACTACATTAATTTGCCTTTAAGCTTCTTTCTACCAACTTGCTTAATTTCACTTCTTTTCTGAGTACTTACCGTGAAACAGTATATTGAATTTATTCTTTCAAATAGATTCTTATTTGTCCTGCGCTCTAGTGTACCAGAGCTCTCTGTGTTTCATGTCTGTTCTGTTCCAATCTTGCACAAGAAACGACCATTTTTGGCTAAAGTTGGAACACACCCATTTTGTACTCTATATGTATGTTTTTTGTTCTTTCAATAATGCTAGTTCACATTCCTTTGTAAGCATTTTTGGTTTTGCGATTATTGTGATTATTTGAGAGTTTAATACATTTTTAGGTAATTGGAAAAACATTATAAGAAAATCGTTTCCTTGCTCAGAAATATTTTTATTTTTTTTTTTAAATAAAATTACACTTCCTATATTTATAAGCTTTATCAAATGCAATACTGTTTACCTCTTAAATTAAATTATAGAAAAAAAAATTGAGAGCGTTGTTTGTATCGATTATAATATACAATATTTTTTGTATTATACACTTGTAGTATAAAGTTAATAAATTCAGTTATATTATACTATAGTAGTTTATTTTCTGGGTGGGTCTCACCAATCAAATAAGTAAGTCTTTGGTAAGTGTCTGTTAGTGAAATAGCCGCACTTAAAGTAACCGTAACACAATGATTTGAATTAAATATAGAAATACCTGATGTTATTAGTTTAAATGAAATCTTCCAAATCAAATTTATTGCCATCAAGATCCGATGTGCATTCCTTTAATTTGTTTATGAGCTCGGAATTTTCAGCAATCAGATTATTACCAGTTTTATAATTATAAGTTTTCAACTTATTTTTCAGGCGGCTATGTAAAACTGGATCTTTTACATATTTAATTTTCTCTGTCGGCTCATTATTATTAGGATTTGCTTTTAAATACTCATTAAATTCGTCAACGTCCACGTCAAATTTATCTTCAAACTTGTTCAAGTTTACTTTAAACTCGTTAATCGTCTGGCTTAAAGTTTCCAATTCCATATAGTCTTTTTGGACTTTGTTGAACCAACTTTCAAATACCTTAATCAAAGTGGTATATTGATGGTATGCAACGGTTTCTAAAAGATGATGTAAATGGGTCCAGGTTTTTGCAATTTTGATACATTCAAGCTGATATTGATGGTTTTGAGGTAGCGGATAATCTCGGCCAATTCTTAGATGGTTCATGGAGTCTTTTATGCGATCAGCAAGTGTTGATGCTCTGAAAATCATAAATTAGGTTTAATTGGCTATATGAAATACTTCTAAATATATAGGAACCCATATACTTTTTATACTCTGGCGGTCACATATAGCAGCTGATGTTGAAAAAATGTACAGGCAGATGAAGATTCACACTGATGACTACTATGGGATGACAGCAGCACCATACTAAAGCATACTTCGCTTGCCCACGACGAGAGATGCAACTATCCGAATCCAAAGCAGCAATGAAAGATTTTTATGTAGGCGACTTGCTATTAGGTGCTGACACTATAGAAGAAGCTACTACTACTACAAGACGAACTCATCAAAATGTTTCAACGAGGAGGGTTCACGTTGCGGAAATGGTCCAGCAACAAACCAGAATAACTACAATAATTTCCAAATGAACTTAAAGATCAATCAGCCGTGGAAATAACTGAAGATGACATAAGAAAGTTTCTAGGTATCCACTGGGCTCCGTATAATGACAGATTTAGATTCAAAACTGAAATATCGACCAGTGATAATATTACTAAAAGGAGCATTCTTTAAGGAGTTGCTGAGCTATTCGACCCACTAGGATGGTTAGCTCCAATAATCATCAGTGCGAAGCTCCTTATCCAAGAATTGTAGCTGCAAGAGCTAAATTGGGATGATCCTGTGCCATTCTTCATTAAGAGCAAATAGGAAATTTTCCGAACAGAACTAGAGAGTGTCGAAAAAATTACTATATCCAGGTGGACCTACCAAGTAAAAAACAAACACGTGGAACTACATGGCTTTTGTGATGCCTCCGAAAAGACATATTGAGCCTTAGTCTACATGAAAGTCAGGAATTCCCAAGATGAAACAAAAATAGTTCTGCTAACAGCTAAATCCAAAGTAGCACCAGCAAGAATGAAAGTTAGGTAGGTACGTTGCCAAAATTAGAGTTATGTTCTGCCGTGCTTCTTTCACATCTACTAGAAAAGAATGCTACAACATTATCACTACAAGATGCCCCCGTACATGCCTGAACAGACTCTACACAAAAACTATCGTGGATAAAAGGGGACCTATCCAGGTGGAAAAATTTTGTAGCTAACCGAGTAGCAGTCCAACTCTATTAAAAATCATATTATCATGGTGGTTTGGTCTATCGTGGTTGAAATCGATTACCATAGCGCCGACGGACCAGATATCAGTCACCACCGACTTGTCCGACTTATTCAAAATTGCATAAGATAAACGAATCTGCACACTCTACTCACAGTTGATGAAATAGGAGACACCCTAACATACCTAGTCAAGATTGATCAGATCCAACATTTCAATGAAGCAGGAATACAAAAGCTGAAAAAAGGGTCTCACCTAGACAGTAATAGCAAAATTTTCAGCCTTACTCCATGGCTGGACGACAATGAAGTTTCACGAGTTGGAGGGAGATTACAAAATTCAATGTTACGTTACGATAGCAAACATCCAATTATCTTGCCCTATGCGGGTCACCTGACAAACTAGTAATATTGAACGCTCACGCCAATACACTACACGGAGGAAATAAGCTGACACTATTCTATACAAAAGGCCGTTTCTCGGTTCTGAATAATAAATGGAAAACGCCGAGTGAAGACGATTATTAGCCACTGTGTAAGATGCCTGCGATTCAAGACTCAAACTGTCGCGAAACAGATAGGAAATCTTCCAGTTCCCAGAATTACATCGTCGCACCCATTCCATAGGCAATACTACGATCTAGGTACACCAGACATCAAAAGTTTAATCACCAAATCTTTCAATGTGGAGCACTCAACAGTTTTTTGTCAGCGATTTATTCTTTTCAATTAATTACCATTGTTCATGAAGTTTGTCAAAGTTGCATTTTTTTCCCAGTTACCAAACTTCCCAGATGTACTAACCCAACCTACAAACAAAGAGAAAAACCTCCTTACTAAAACGATAAAATTTCAATTTTTTTTTTGTCGAGATTTTGTATCGTTATGGTCAATCAACATCCCCCGATCTCCATACACTAAATTATTCTCAGATTTGAAGCCGAAATCTATGAAAAAAGGCACTCATAAAAATTGAAAAATTGATAAATCACCCCAAATTGCTTAACTCCATTTTATCTCAAGAACTATAAGTACAAATGAGCTGAAATTTTCAGGGATTGTAGTTCCTTGATTGGGATAAAATTCAGTGAAAGTTTCAACTTTCTATCTATAATAGAAAAAAAGTTATGACCATTCAAAGTTTTCCAAAATCTAAATCATAAGGTAGCTACCTTCTTACTAAATCGATGAAATTTCATTTTTTTTTTGTCGAGATTTTGTATCCGAATGGTCAATGAATATCCCCAAACTCCATACACTAAATTATTCTCAGATTTGAAGCCGAAATCTATGAACTATGGCACTCAGAAAAATTGAAAAATTAATAAATCACCCCAAATTACTTAACACGATTTTATCTCAAGAACTATAAGTGCAAATGAGCTGACATTTTCAGGGATTGTAGTTCCTTGATTGGGATAAAATTCAGTGAAAATTTCAGCTTTCTATCTATAATAGAAAACCATTCAAAGTTTTCCAAAATCTAAATCATAAGGTAGGTCCCTTCTTACTAAAACGATGAAATTTCAAATTTTTTTTGTCGAGATTTTGTATCCTAATGGTCAATAAATATCCCCAAAACTTCATACACTAAATTATTCTCAGATTTAAAGCCGAAATCTATGAAAAAAGGCACTCAGAAAAATTGAAAAATTGATAAATTGTGTTCTCATCCTCCTAAATTCCAATACAGGAATTTACAATAAACAACAATTATATATGACATTCAAAGATGAGGAACAATTAATGACAATAACGAACACATGAAAATTAATTCACCTGGAGTAATGATGACTATGCATATTTTTTAAATGATTGAAGTTTATCCAGAAAGGCAGTAAGAATATAAGGAACAAACCAGGGAAAAACTCAAATAAAAAAATCAATAACAATTTTTATCTTACCTCACAGTTAATCTGGATTCAAAAGGATTTTCAAAATCTTTAATCGCACTCTCCCATTCCTTCTCAGCTAAATTTTCGTAATTGTATTTCGTGTGCAAATTATAGATTGCAACAAAATCTTGACTAATATTACTCAGCTCTTCACAATTATTTGTCTTGGCTTTGTACTTAGCAACGTTTTGCAAGGTCTCAAAAATGCCAGCTGCTTTATTGAATATTTTGCATTTGCTCATTAAATATTCAGCTTCGCACATTAATTTTTTTAATCGTATTTTAATGCATTTTATTACATTTTCAACTGTATTGTGTATCAGTTGAGTGATTATTGAATATTTTTCAATGAGTCTTTTGGCTTGGTAAGCATTGCAGCAAGCTTTTCTGGCTAGTTTAAAGTCCTCCCCCAATTCCAGTTTTTTAGTAAAAGAAATAATTGGAGACATTTCTTTTAAATCAAGAACATTAATTTTTGAGTTTTCTTTTGAGAATACAAATACGGGGCACTTTTCAGTAGTTGCAAGCAAAGTTTCTCCACTGAGTTCATCTGCTTTGTAAATTAAAATTTGATTTTCCGGTGCAATGTCAGTTTGTATAGAAATATCTTTTTGAAGTATTTCTATAGTGTCAAATGGGTTGAGGTAAATTTTAATCAAACCTTGATTATTAATATCAAAAACATGGACGATTTTTCTTGTAACAATCGTGTCAACTGTATCAAAAAACTCTTTGAAAGTCCAAATTTTTGTTACGTCAGATTCCAATAGTCCAGCTATTAACGGTGTAATTATTTTTCTCAGATTTGGACTCAAAAGACAATTTTCTGGCAATTTTGAGCTCCAAATAATCGATCCATTTAGATTTTGTTGGATTCCGGAAATAATACCAGCTTTCTAAAAAATTATAATTTATATATTTTTAAGAAAAAATCGTAAATCATCCAAATACCTTGTGGGTCGTTATATAATGCATGGTTTGCCTATTTCGTCTGCCTCCAAAAGGCCGAAAAGGCAATTCACCTGTAACCACATGATACAAAGTAACTCCAGTAGACCATAGGTCTACAGTGGCACGGAAAGCTCTGCCAGGAGTCCCTAGTAAAGCTCTTTCATACACGTCAGGAGCTAAATACTCTTCGGTACCGTAAACAGATACAAATTCTTTTCCGTCTGGAAGATCTCTGGCAGCACCAAAGTCAATCAGTTTGTATACTGAAGTGCCATCGTCTAGTATGCATTTCATTATATTGCCTTGAAGAAATAAATTAAATCGTAATACCTTATAATAAACTGCTGGACACTTGCTTTCGAACAAAAGGAAAATTTCACCTAAGTTCCAAGCTCGATATTTTCATATAGCAATTTAAAAAAAAAAAAGACAATCGGTCAGCTCGTGAAAACCAGAGGTCGATATTTGGTCTAGTTCCAAAAATATTGAGCTTGAAAGTTAGGTGAAAAAATTTGCTTGTTCGCAAGTATTTGTCTACCAGTTTAGTTCAGTCCTAGTGCATTTTGAATATTATTATTTGATGAATTATTTTAATTTTGGCTACCTTACACCCGTATGCGCCGTATGGACTTTGGATTTGGGAGTTTAATCTCGCTTAGTTCGAAAATTTGCATATAAAAAAGAGGTCCTAATCTGGTTTTAGCAACTAATCTGGATTACCTAAGTCCTTACGGTGCATTTGAGCGTTAGTAATTTACTTTATTTACTACTTCACTTTTAGATCTAATTGAGAAAGGCTACTAGCTCTTATAATTGAAAAAACGGGCAGGAAATATGAAAACGTCGTAAAAACAATAAAGGATAAACTAAAAATCAATGACGCAAGCCAAGCAATCAGTACAATAAAGATGACCACTAATGAAAACGTATTAATAACACTGGACAAAAATACACATGACCCTACAAGAAATAAAAAAGGCGGAAAATTCAGCCGAACGCATAAAGATACGCTACAGTGGCAGAAACTTCGAAACCATACACATTAGAGGACTGGACGTTACTGCCACCTAACAGGATGTAATCGCAGAAGTTGGCAAAGTTGTGGGGCCACTTAACGAGGGAGATTTCCAAATAGGGAATCTGAAACAAACAAGGGCAATACGCAGGCTGTCACACTTATGCTCGACAAGCACAAAGCGGTGACACGAATCCATACATTCGTGTAGGCCTCTCCAGGGGACTAATGGAGAAAAGGATATCAGTACCAAGGTGTAGCAAGTGCTAGGCGTTAGAGCATAGGTCGGAAAACTGTAACAGGCCAAACTATGCTACAAATGCGGCGAAGAAGGCCATCTATTGTCGTAGAGCGATACCTAATACTTGCCTGTTATTATTAGTCACCTTTGCTACAGGTAATCTCTGACATCTCACCTTTTCGGTATCCTTATTGTTGTTGTCAATAGATTTCAATCTATCAATTTAACTAAGAGTTTATTCAAGTTTAAAAGTGAGAATGAATAAGGAATCCGTATTTCCACCATTATCGCAACTATTACGAAGCAAGAGTAAAACTTCGCAATGTCTGAAAGGGTTTACACCAGGTCATACAGCGATCATGACCCCCAATACAACCCTACGACGATATGCCGCCCAACTTGATGGTACAAACACCCAAAATAAAAACCCCGCAGGATCTGCACCGCTACACTCCTCGATTTATGGAGAAACTTCGCAACAGAATTTATCAGAGAACATAATATTACAAGATGTGGCTTCCATAACTTCTGAACGTTGGAAAGAGATTAGGCTCACAAGACAACCTCCTGTCCAGATACCAGTGTTTTCAGGATTGGATTGGTAGAGTCCGAAAAAATTTGTCCAGGAATTTAGATCCTATTTTGAAAAGTATAAAGTTCCAAAGGAATGTCAAACTAGTCAAGTAAGGCATCATCTGGAGGGAGAAGCAAAATCATGGTTCTCTACGTATGAACTACATGATGTACCTATAAGTTTTGATTCTTTCTGTAAATAGATTTTTTGAAAGATTCGATAATGACTCTCTCAAGGCCTCTTTATATAGAAAATTATTTGGCGAAAAGCAAACAAATGAGGATAGTTCAATCTTTTTAACCAACAAACGTAGGTAACTTGTTTTATCGTCTAGAATCAATTTTAGAAGAGAAAATAATGATTATAAGAGTTTTAGAACTATTGAAACCAGATTTACCCGTTAATTTGAGAGATAGAGATTTTTCAAACTTTGAAGAATTAATTCAAGTGTCAGTATTGTATGAAAACGATCTTAAAGATTATAAATGAAACAGATGAGAGAAGGATAAAAAGTACATCAAATTCAAGACCTCGTTCAGCTTGTAGATTCTGTGGTGAGTGGCACTATCATAAAGACTGTCACGACCAAGACAAAGTTATTTGAATACAAAAAACTAGCTGAAGGTCGGCCACCAAAAAAGCCGACCATAAGCACTATTGAAAACTAAAATTTAGACAAAAAATTACCACGTATTCAAATTACAGTAAATACCTAACAAGCAAATTATAGCATTACTCGATACGGGAGCAAGCGATTTATTCCTTGTTTACGCAATAGTATTTGAAATTCAGTAAACTGGACTGCGACTGGAAAATCGTGCAAACAAATAGAAATAGAAATGAAAATGATACCATAGGGTTGTCGAAACACACAAAAGATATTTCCACTCACCTGGGTTTTCTTATAAGCTGTGTGTATGTACGGGGATACCCTGGAAAACGGTTCTCTACAACCACCAACGTATCAGCATTGACGTCAAGGTCCCTTTTTAACGGCACAAGACATAGACTTTTTGAGCGTAAAACACGGAACCGGTAAAAATGCAACGTGCATATGAAGCACCATTTATCTAGTGTGTAAAATCCAAATATTCAACGGCTGTCTGCCTCGGTTGGCGCAGGGTCGTAGAAAATACACTCCTGTGTGTTTTACGCGAAATTGACATTTACGTAATTCTTTAATAAGAATGAGAAGAAACCAAATTAATGAATAATGTTGCGTTAACATTCCTAAATAAGCGTTTCGCCCTAAGTAATAATTTAACGGACAATATAACAACTGTAAACTAAGTCAAAGATGTTACTTTCAAAACATCAGGTTTCCAAAATGTGCCTATTTCACTGGATGGAAAAATATTTGACACAAAATTTCATGTAGTAGACTCATTGTCAGAAGATGCTATTTTAAGACGGGATTGGTTACAAATGCAATTTTAGATTTTGTCCAAGGTTGTATTTAAAGTTCGTCTTACGAGTCTAGCACTATGGACAGAATGCGGATAAAAAAATTGCAATATTGTCTATTTGACTTCCAATAGAAAATACCTTAATATTTATCTATGTTACACACCTACATTTATAAGGAAAAAGTAATATTTAAAAACGCTGCGCGCACGCCTATGACAGGCAGCATAAAGCTCGAAATGAATGGCGTTATTCCCCCTTGCCCTTCAGACGTCGTAGTGCTAGACTCGTAAGGCGAACCATACAGGGTGTCCCACAATCAGCGTTACAGGCCATAACTTTTTTATTTTTAGAAAAAAAAAAAAATCTTTTACTAGATAATGAATTTCCACCTTGTAACAGCCGATTCAATAAAAATACATATATTTTTTCCTTATTTGATTAGATATAATATCCCTACCTGGTTTCAAATCTCTATGAACTATGTCGTTATCTCTCAAATATTTCATGCCAGCATAAAGGTGAGACAAAAATAGTAAAAATTCGGAATCATCCAAACCGTAAATGTTTTCCGGATCATCTAGGATGTTGCTCAAACAACCTCCGGTGCAAAGCTCTGTAACCAAAATTTGTCTTGGTTGCATCCGCCCAGAATTCCTATTAGGACATTCTTGTTCTATGGAAAGAAGTTTCACTATGTTTTCATGTTTGATTTTCCTTAAAATGCACATTTTTACCACATGAATCAACATTAAAATTTTCCTTACTTTAACATTTCAAATTCCCGGACTCCTAGAGCTGCCTCAACGACCTTGATTGCTACAAATTCTCCATTGTTTTTGTTTATTCCTTTGTAAACTGAACATGTAGAACCTCTTCCCAAAATATCGTCAGTTGACCACACGTAATTTCGCGATTGATGAATATTAGTAGCCATTTTCCTGCATTAACACAAACACGACTAAACAATTTAAATAGCTCCACTCCATTTGTATCAGGAAAAAACCATTTTTGTTAGTATAAACAAACACACTTTACTGAAGCAGCGGTTTGACTGGAGATAATAATTTTCAAAACTGCTAGTATAGAAAATATATGTGCAGTGCATTATGAGTAATTTTGCGATAAGCCAAATTTTAATGCCTTGGTGATAAAGTAGGTATTTATTACAATGAAAATAATAATATCTTGATTAGGACCATTTTTTTTGTACTTACACGAGGGGCGTTTTAATAAAGTATTTTTGCTCCTCAAATAAGTATACCTACCTAATTATACAGGATGTCCCACGGTGGATGGCGTATTAGACGTTTATGGAGAAGTAAAAAGCGGATCATTTTGAAAATCTGGCAACCGGGATAAACGACCATAATCTACACTTTAAAAATATTTTTGTTGCCGCTTCTACTCTAAACTAGTGGCAACATCGCTATTTTAAATGGAACACCCTGTATGTGATTGCATATTTCGATTCTACGTAAAATTCTGAGCAGATTTCATGTTATATACCAACCCTATACCTAAGTTCAACTGTTTTGGAAATAATGACAGTTCAAAATTGACTTTTCGCAACTTTGACAGGCTGTAAAACCTGAACGGTTAATTTTAGAGGAAAACCGATTTTACATTCCTATCTTAGATTTTTATAAACTATATTAATTTGACACCAACTTTGAATTTAATCCATGATTAAAAATTCCAATTAAATTTAATCTCCGGTTAAATTCAGAGTTGGTGTCAAATGATAATGATAGTTTATGAAAATCTAAGATAGGAATGTTAAATCGGTGTTCCTCTAAAATTAACCGTTTATAGTCTGGGAGACGACCGCATTTTTCCTACCCCGATCGAGTTATGTGTCGACACTATTATCAATTTATAGTATTATGTGCATCTATTAACCTGTATTCCTGCCTGAGAGCAAATGCTGCCGGAAATATATTTTAACAAATTATTAATAAATTGAAAAAAACGTAACACTACCCCCATCGAGTTATGCCCTAAGTAGGGTATCAGATTGAAGGTCTCGATGTCCCCTATCTGAAAAGTCGATCCTGCCTCGTGAGAATTTGCCGGAAAAGGGTGGCAGGGCAGCTTATTGGGGCAAGGGCCCGCGGTCTCTGCTTTGACACCTATCAAGCTTTGCACTAAATGATATGTCAAATTATAGGTGTCAATAAGTTGATTTAAGGTCTGTTCGCACAGAAATCACAAACCAGTCAGAGCGAATTTCATTGGTTGGAAACAGTCAGGAAACTAGTTTCAAACAATGAAATTCACTTCTTCTGGTTTGGGATTTCTGTGCGAAGAGACCTTAAATCAACTTATTGACACCTTTAATTTGACACATCATTCAGCGCAAAACTTGATAGGTGTCAAAGCTGAGACCGCGGGCCCTTGCCCCAATAAGCTGCCCTGCCACCCTTCTCCGGCAAGTTCTCACGAGGCAGGATCGACTTTTTAGATAGGGGACATCGAGACCTTCAATCTGATACCCTACTTAGGGCATAACTCGATGGGGGTAGTGTTATGTTTTTTTCAATTTGTTAATAATTTGTTAAAATATATTTCCGGCAGCATTTGCTCTCAGGCAGGAATACAGGTTAATAGATGCACATAATACTATATATTGATAATAGTGTCGACAAATAACTCGATCGGGGTAGGAAAAATGCGGTCGTCTCCCTAACTATTAGGTTTTACAACCTGTCAAAGTTGCAAAAACTCAATTTTCAACTGTCAATATTTCCGAAATAGTTGAACTTAGGTATAGGGTATATCACATGAAATCTGTTCAGAATTTTACGTAGAATCCAAATATGCAATCATATAAAGGGGTTCCATTTAAAATAGCGATGTTGCCACTGATTAAGAGTAGAAGCGGCAACACCGCATAAACAAAAATATTTTTAAAGTGTAGATTATGGTCGTTTATCCCGGTTGCCAAATTTTCAATATGATCCGCTTTTTAGTTCTCCATAAACGTCTAATACGCCATCCACCGTGGGACACCCTGTATACATTATTTTTATCCATGAAATTAAATGTTTATTGATATGTACAGGGTGTCCCAAATTCGAGGGCCAACATTGGGATATCGGTAACCGTAAGAGATACTAGGGTGGTTAAATTAGACAAAAGTTGCGCATTTTGAAGGTTAACAAAATTCCGTTTTGAAATTTGAGAAATTCTCAATACTTCCGGGAATATTCCGAAAAATGCGATTCTGGTGTGAAGTTCCCCAAACGATGAATTTTGGTACTGCCTATAATTTCCAATACTGTTTTTGCCCGAGACTAGGGTGGAAATGTCCATATTTTCACAAAAACCCTTTTTTCGATGAATCACAATTATTAGTTTTACCCCCTTAAACCACCCTCAAAGTAATTTGCAAGTCAAGTGAGGCTCACCAAACGATGTATTTTGGTACTGCCTTCAATTTCCAATACTGTTTGTGCCCGAGCCTAGGGTGAAAATGTCCATATTTTCACAAAAACCCTTTTTTCCATGAATCGCAATTATTAGTTTTACCACCTTAAACCACCCTCAAAGTAATTTGCAAGTCAAGTGAGGTACCCCAAACGATGTATTTTGGTACTGCCTATAATTTCCAGTACTGTTTGTGTCCGAGAATGGGGTGGAAATGTCACAAAATCTCAACATAAAAAAATTTGAAATTTTATCATTTTAGTATTTTTGATTTGGATTTCTGAAAATTTCGAAAAATCATAGCTTTTTTTCTATTAGATAGAAAGCTGAAATTTTATGGAGGATGAGGGGTCCCAAATGATCATTTAGACACAAAATCTCAACATGAAAAAATTTGAAACTTCATCATTTTAGCACAAAGTTAGCTACCTTATGATTTAGTTTTTTGGAAACCTTGAAAAATCATAACTTTTTTTCTATTAGACATAGAAAGCTGAAATTTTCAGCGATTCTTATTCTAGTAGAGGACTACAATCCCTGGAAATTTCAACTCATCTGGATTTATAGTTCCAGAAATAAAATCGCGTTAAAAGCAATTTGGGGTAATTTATCGATTTTTTGATTTTTCTGAGTGCCTTTTTCCATAGATTTCGGCATCATATCTCAGAATAATTTAGTGTATGGAGGTTGGAGGGTCCCAAATCATGATTTAGACACAAAATTTCAACATAAAGAAATTTGAAATTTCATCATTTTAGTACAAAGCTGATGAAAATTTCAACTCATTTGGATTTATAGTTCCAGAAATAAATTCGCGTTAAGCAATTTGGGGCAATTTATCGATTTTTTTATTTTTCTGAGTGCCTTTTTCCATATATTCCAGCTTCAAATCTCAGAATAATATAGTGTTTGGAGGTTGGGGGGGTCAAATGATCATTTAGGCTTGGGTATTCTGATATCGGCCATTTTTTGTACATGTCCGAACCAAATCAGCTGGTTGTCCTTTATATCATCTACTATTGTGTGTTTTATATCCATAATCTCCCTAATTCTTAGATTTGTTATCCTTTCCATTTTTGACCTGCTCTCCTCCAAAAGTCCATTTCAGTTGCTTCCAGCATTTTTGCGGTTCTGTTCCTCAGTGGCCAGACTTCCGAACTATATGTGACTGTGCTTTTGACTATGGTGTTGTATATTCTAATTTTGTTAGCTTTGTTGATATTTTGGTCCCACAGTAAACCATTTAGTAGGGATATTACCTTTCCGTCCTTGTATATTCCGATCTTTAATTGCTTCGTCTAGGGTTCCCCGAGGGGTTCTCTCGTTAGATTTTCATGCCCAAATATTTGTATTCAGTACATTGTTTTATTTCTTGTCCGTTATTCAATTCCCGAGTTCATTGTTCACCTCCTATAATCATATATTCTGTTTTAGTTAGATTTACTTCCAGTTCCAAACCGACCAAATCCCACTTCTCGTATTCCTCTATCAATTTTGGTGTCAGGTACCTACTCTAGGTCATCATAGTCCTGTGCAATTAATACTTGATCATCTGTAAAGCTTAAAGTATATAAATTGAATTCATTGAGCGGTATTTCCATGTGTCTGCATTTGTATTTCCACCCCTTTAAGCGCTTGTCCTTTGTATTGAGGAGTCCCTTTATTCTTTTTTTTTTCATCCATTAAATTTAAAATTTCGTCGGTCTTCCAAACTTTCTTTTTTTTTTCCTTAGGTCTAGTGCCTATGGTAATTATAATTAAATAATTCACATGTATTCATAAATTTTTAACAATCTACTCTACACATTACTATTATAGTTCCACTAAAATTACGGCAACAGAGACTTATTCATCATAGCAATGAGGAATTTGATCTACAGACTTAACAATGTTAAGCACTACATTAACCAAAAAATTATTAAACCTATTATCGCTATTTCGTACTGAGCGACAAGCCTAGAGGGACTTTCGCTGAGTACTTTCCCATCTCCCCAATGATGAAGGCGCGTACGGGCAAACCGAACTTATAAAAGCCCGAGCGAAATTACCAATTGAAAATCTCGTTGATCAGTTATTTTGATTACATAACAAGCGGTGTTTTACTATTGAAAAGCGTAAGTGGTCAATGATAATTTTATTTTTCTGTGCTAGGTTTTTGATTTTTTTGTTTGCTTAACTTATTTTTTCTTACAATGATCCTTGATTTATTGTTATTTTACTTATTTGGAATAATTTGAACCTTTCTTTGTTCTAAAATAGTTAGGTAGCTATTTAACATTTTGAAAATTTCCTAAAGTTTTCTTTAAAACTAAATAGGTACATTTTTGGCTTTAAAATAAACTTTCTCGGTAGGTATCTGTTAATCTGAACATAAGCAAATTAAAGACAACTGTTGGGTTTTGAATGCCAGTTGTAAAAGTTAAGATTTTTTTTAGTAAAAAATTTAAATTTAAAATTATTTACTGTTTCTGGTACTACCAGGACTAAATGAGAAGAAACTGTAATTAGTCCAGTAAAATAGTAGTTTTGACAAGAAAAAATTCCGGAGTTCGGGTTTTTGAACGATTCTTTATGTTTTTTGGGATGCTGAATCAGAATTTCAACAATGCCGCGCCGTACGTCTGACGTATCATCCCTAAAATTTGACAAAACTGCGAAAATCAGGTTCATTTTGGCGTTTGTTGCGAATAACATCATATAACATGCATATGCAGATACATAAATTAGGTTCTTCTTCTGTTTTATATGTTATTGGGAGTGGTGAATCCAAATATCAACCCGCTCGACCCGTACTAGCGACAAAAAATTGCGAAAATTAAAATAATTATAAAATTTGACCAATTTTTACTATTTTTCCACCACAAAAACCTTACCTTCAGTTGTAATTGTACTGGTGCTGTACTGTACTGGTTGTACTGGTGCTGTCTTCATTGTCGAGCTCCTCAAAATCGCCAGTCTGTGCACACTCGGCGCAGAATAATCCTGTTCGCCTGCAGCCACAGTTTTCCATGCAATATTTATTGCAATGGCAAGGATTTTTTTTAACACTTTATCAAGTGCTGGTGGCAGGAGTGTTGTGACTAGAATCAGGCCGTTTCTCGAGGAATTTCATCCCCACATCAAGCTGATCATTCCCCAGCCACAGTTGTGAATTGAAGCGAGGTTGGAAGTTCTTTTGTAAGCAGACATGAGCATTAGATAATGTTGTACCTTAGCTTCTCCTAGGTGGTATCATGGTGATCGCCAACATAAAAAGCTACCAGGAACTATTTCCCTACATCAAATAGCGACTCTATCAGCGTTGGGGTCCCTCAATCTCGTGAGATGAAATTTGAGGTCAGGATTTTTTGTCAGCACTTTGACGCATTTCACTTTGCCCTGCTTCTATAGTGCCGCTGTTGAGCCACAGCCACTGACTGCGTGTTGAAACAGAATAAGTTTGTCCACATGCTTGGCAATGGTGGTTGGTGGATAGAACAAGGAAGGCGATGCTTTTACTGGCTTCAGAAAGTACATGTTGAGATATGTACTAATTCCAATCGCTAATACTAGGAGAACGTCAACATTTTCACCAACGACCAACGGTGTTTATTTTTTGAATTACCTAATCAGTATGTTAAATACGCAAAATGAGGTGTCCAAGAGCACAGAGCCGCCAGACACAACTTATTTTCTAAAGGACAGCATATGTGGGATTGAGTAGCACTTATATAGCTACCATGAACGTATGTATACCCGCTAAGTTGGGTAGACGGCCAATTGAAAATAATAGTAACAGCTGGAACTGTTATTTGTAAATAACGGTTTTTCCCATTTCTCTCTCTAGCCTGGAGGAGACTGTAAGTTTAAAAGGAGGAAATAAGTTGACATATATATCTCCCTTACTCTCAAACGCATGCATAGTACCCTCGCGCTCACACTCTCGGAAAAATTATTATTGCGTATGGGGGGATGTTTGGCCGGTGCGATTGGTCTGGCTGAGCACACGTAGTTATGAAATAGTCTCCCCAATAACTTAATATATAAAAATCAAGCGTTAGAAAAAAAATTAAAGTTTTTCTCAGCTTTCGCACTTGGTGTCGGTAAATTGGCCGTCTACCCAACTTAGCGGGTATACATACGTTCATAGTAGGTACATATAGGTAAGTGCTACACAATCCCACATATTGTGTCCTTTAGAAAATAAGTTGTGTCTGGCGGCTCTGGGCTCTTGGACTATACCAATAAGTATAAGCATGTATATATTGTTTATTCACAATCCTCAGGTAAATGTAGGATTCATCAACTTTCGGTAGTATATTTGATAGGGAAAGGTGATAAATCTACCTTTACTTTTGGACTTCGGTCTTCGGATTGTGAATAGACTTTACTATAGATACGATCCGCCATCGTAATATTTTTTTTTTTTTTAAATTTTAACCACGTTTCGTTTCGCGGAATCAGCAACCGAAAATATGAAAAACCGATGAGAAATATAGCAATATGTTTTTCGGTAAAAAAATCGTAAAAATGGGAATGGATATACAATATACTTTCAAGTCTATAATTTCCCAAATGTTATTGATCTGAGGTCGGGTATCTGAAGAAGGAAAAATACTATTTCTTGCCTAGGAGAGTAAATAGATATTTTCTACTACCTAGGTACCTTACTAGGAAACTTCATTTGTGACTCCTGAACAAAATATAGGTAACATTTCTTCTCCCATGAATATTAATCAAACTATCTGTTGGAGAAACAGCACTATTTTCGTTTATTTCTATTTTTCCCTTCTTTTCCTCCCGGGGCGAAAACATTTTTTTCTCCCGCATGGATTGATATTAATCAAACTGTATGTGAGAGGAAAAGCACTATTTCGCTACCTTTGGTATGTAAATAGATATTTTTTCTACTACCTTACTAGAAAACGTCATTTTCGACCCCTGCAGCGTTGCCATTCCTCATGATTTTACATGAGATCTCATGTTTTCATTGTCCATCTCATGCTCTCATGCTTCCAAGTAAAAATCTCATGATTTTTCATCTTATGGTTTGATATTAAATCATGTTGGTTTTTTGCATTTTGTCATGAATATTTCTGGTTATCAGTTTCAAAACTTAAAAAAGGTGATGCTAAATTTATGCAGTTTAAACCACACTCAAGTGCTACATGTGAGAGGATTTTTTCACAAAGTCCAAAAATCGTCTAAACCCAAAGTACAATAGCTGGTATTTTAAGAACGAAACAATATATTGGGTCCAATAACTGTACCAAATTTTAACATTGATAACACATTTATAAATAAGAAGAAACCCACTATATACAGCACCAACAATGCAGTGGAAAAGTATAGACATTTACTTAAAAATCTTTAATCAAATAGAATATAGCTGTGATTGAAGAAAACACAAATGTTCCTTCTATCTTCTGTACGAAGATAGGTTCCCTTTTTTTGTGATGTGAAGTATTTTCGTCGATAGTTTGTTTTATTTTAATTTTTTTTTTAACCAAAGATGGTATGAAACAAGATCACGAGTTTCAAACAACTGTTTTTATTTATTTTTGAATGGCCCCTCATGTTTTCCGCTATTTTAAAAATCTCATGTTTTCTCATGTTTTTAATGACTCAAATTTCATGCTATAGAAATTTTGGGCCTGGCAACACTGGACCCCTGCATGAGGGAGGAGAATGGTTCTTTCCTTCCTGGGTCCCTATTCTTGAAACAGGAGAGCAGCGTTCCCAGGAGGAAGAGTGTACCTACCATCTTTGTTACTTATATTATCAGTTGCATATCGTTGAGAAAGACAAAACACTCGTTTTCCTGGGAACGCTGCTCCCCTGTTTCAAGAATAAGGACCCAGAGAACAGAAATTTTCCACTTTCTAATTTAGACAACCACCAAATTTTTAGAAAATTCGTAGAGATATCCAAAGACAAGCTGACACATTTTGCAGGCAAATATCTCGATAACGAGAAAAGATAGCGAGATGCGATTTCTTCTGGGAGAATAAGGATTTTTTAAAGTTTTTTTCACAGAATTGCCGAATCCTAGAATTTGCTGAAATTTGATTTTACAGACTGGCGATTTTTTGAAATAAAATTACTTACGCCTTATTTTCAATGGAACACTATACAGGGTGTACCATTAAAAACGAAACAGGCTCATATCTGATGATAATCGCTCGTACACGTTATTTGATTTTCAAAGGGGGAAGTTTTCTGTAATCATTTTTAGCACTTCACCTTTAACCCTCTAGGCGGGGTGGGACAAAGTCTTACTATTCCAAATGGAATAAGGGGTCGAGTGATACCTCTTTTAAAAGAGCGTACAATTCTCTTTCATTTGATGTCATTTGAAAAAAAATTGAACGGACTTTTAAAGCAGGTAACACTCGATTCCCTGTTCCAATTAGAATGGTAATAAGGGTTAGTCCCACCACCTCCTAGAGGGTTAAGTTAGTGCTAAAAATATTTCAAGAACTCACACAATCAAATTACGTGTATGAGCGGTTTGAAAAAAAAAATTGACATCAGATCCTGTTTCGTTTTAAATGGTATATACCCTGTGTATTTTGTCATCGTCGGAAGGAATAGGAAAGCCTGATCTCAGGCTCAGGAATAGAATTTTTTCGCGCTTAGATGCAAAAAAATCATGTAAAATTTCTATTGAATAACCTTTGGAAGCTTCTGAAAAATACCGCAGGCAATAGGGACTTCAAACTTTCAGGATTTATTGAGTAGGGTCTTTTTATCGAACAGACCAAACCGTGAATAGATCTCAAGCTCAGACATGGAATTTTGAATTCTTTCTCACTTCTATCAACTAGGTAATTGAAACCTTGACAACAAAGTGCAATTTATATGATGCAATTTCAAGACAATTAAAAAAATATATAAATTTTTGTGAAGTCTTACTGACGTCACTGACGATGACAAAATATACAGGGTATTTCATTAAAAATAAGGTAGTACTTAAGTTTATTTTAAAAAATTGTATCGTTAAAACAAAATTTCATCAAATTTCAGAATTCGGCAATACTGTGAAGAAAAAACTTAAAAAAATCCTTATTTTTCCAGAACAAATCGCATTTCGTTTATTCGTTTTAGAGATATTTAGGTACCTAACTGCAAAATATGTCAGTTTATCCAAGGACATCCTGTATATGCGGTTATTCACATACCTACCTAAAGTCGATATCGGCCCATCGGGGTGTCGTCAAGTGAAAAAAACTATACATGCTTCCGGAGGAGAAGCACCATTTTCCTCCCATGGTATGTAAATAGCTATTCTACTACCATACTAGGAAATGTAATTTTTGACACCTTAACAAAATAGGAAAATAATTCTTTTTCTCACGGGAAGAAAACAATTTTTCTTCCATGGATATTAATCAAACTATCCCTGGGAGGAAAAGCACTATTTCCACCTCTTGATACGTAAATTGCAATTTGCTGCTACCATTTTTGACCCCTTAACAAAATAGGAAAATAGTTCTTTTCCTCCCAGAAAAACATGTTCTTGAGTCGCTCGATAATTTTTTCTAGACAATCAAGATCCGATAATAGTTCAATTTTTAACTATTACCGGCTCTTGAGTTGCTGGGTAATTATTCCAGATAATCCAAGAGCCGGTAATAGTTCTAATTTTGACTATTACTAGCTCCGGAGTTGCTGGGTAGGTTTTCTAGACAATCAAGAGCCGGTAATAATAGTTCAAATTCTGATTATTACCGGCTCTGAAGTTGCTGGGTGGTTTTTCTAGACAATCAAGAGCCGGTAATAGTTCAAATTTTGACTATTACCGGATCTTGAATCGCTGGAGAATTTCTCTGGACAGTCAAGAACCGGTAATATTTAAAATTTTGATTTTTATCGGCTCTTGAGTTGCTGGGTAGTTTTTCTAGATAATCAAGTGCCGGTGAAAGTTCAAATTTTGTTTATTATCGGCTCTTGAGTCCCTCGGTAATTTTTCCAGAAAATCAAGAGCCGTTAATAGTTCAAATTTGGATTGTAACCGGCTCTAGCCCAGATAGTACAGGTCGTCCCCAGGACGTCTGTTTTAGATTCCATGTAAATCTTAACGTCCCAAACCGAGATCCTGAGCACATCCGCTAACGGCTAATCTAGAAATGTTTCAGAGCCCATCTAGGTCTTTGCGTTCCGGAACTTTCGTAGGACGTCCGCAAACGACTAGTCTAGGTATATACCTACCTACCTTTGTGACACTCTGAGAACTTTCGTTTTAAAACTTGTGTCCATTCAATCGCCCTGGAAATTCTCATTTGAATATCCCTAGGAGTTCTTTTTGCAAGTCCCTGTGAATTCACCTTTAAATGTCACATGTATGTTCTTTTTGGACCTCCTTGAATGTTGTATCCCTAACATCTCTAGGAGTTCTCTTTGAACGTTCGTAGGAGTTCTGTTTACACAGCCCCAGGATTTCCTCCTGCTGTAACGTCTATGTTACTTCTTTCCAGGAAGTACTCAGTATGAGAGGTTTTGTAACAAAATATATCCTAAGTATGTCCCAGGGAAGATCAAGGACTTTTAAAAGACATACTCGGGACTTACTAAATGTCCGACCCAGTTATCCCCCAATACGTTGCTAGAATAAGGCACTTGTGCTATCTGGGATGATATTTGGATTGGAACGGTTTTAATAAGTAAAGTCATTACCTATAACTGTCATTAATTCTTTTATATAGTTCTTGTCCAGTTGTTCTTGGATATATTGGGACCAATGAAACCAAGTGGTTTTGTTTTTTAAGCTACGTTTCGAAAAATGTATTTTCTTCTTCAGGCTGTAACCAATCGAAACAGGGCAAATTTAGCAATAATAAATAAATAATTTCCAGATAATTGAAATATTTTGAAGAATTAAATAATCTAAAAATAACAAACATTCATATAAAGCAACAAAGTTGATAAAAAAACATAAAAAATATAAAAGCATTTCACAAGTTATGAAACACAAAAAGTTAAAAAGAAGGGTGTCAATATTTAAATAATAATGATTGCTTACTATACCTTCAAAACAAGGTCAATATTAATGAAATTAACAACATTATATTCCAATTTTCGTGGCCCATACACTGATGCCTTGTCCTGTTTCGATTGGTTACAGCCTGAAGAAGAAAATAAATGTTTCGAAACGTAGCTTAAAAAACAAAACCACTTGGTTTCATTGGTCCAAATACAAGAACAACAGAATAATATAACTGTCATAGAGTTTAATTACTTATTATAAGTAATTATACACTAAGACAGTTTTGTAGATGAACTAGATTAGATTTACAAACTATGACGATTGCATCATTGAACAGTATTCTGAAGGCATACAAAATCCATTTAAATTCCTGAGATAAAGGCCCAAAGTATTCTTACTTGGTGATAAATTCCATCCACAAACCCAATTATTGATGGCGAAATAAAATAGTTACCAAAAATGCAAAATAAATGCACCTGCCTTTAATTGATATTCAAATACTTATAACTTGATCCGAAAGATAAATGAATTTAACAAGGAATCAGATAAATAAATAAATAAATCTTAATATATCAACGATATATTAATCAAAAATTGCATTTTATTAAAGCGCTTAGCGGCTGTTGCTGCTCCAGTTATGTTTTTTGTTCAGAATATAATTATTGTATTATTCCTCAACTAGGTATATTTCATGAATAATTGGCCATTATTAATGTGTTATGATCATTGTGATTGATTTCTGTCACTTGCTCGAATAAACTTGGAAATAAAATAATCCTAAAATCCAAAACAATTTCCGGCCATTGTCCATTAGATCATATATTATTCAACTCTCACTTTCTTCAAGGAATGCGTTAACATGGAACTATTTAGCATGATTTTTTTTCTTGTTGCACTTTCTCGTATATACCTTACCTACAAGTAGGAAATTATTATTATACCGAGAAAAGTAGATTAATAATTTTCAACTCGTGTGAATTTCTATATAACTGAATGATTTTTCTTTGGAGTTAATTAACAAAAACTAGAACTTATCTAATAATAAATTATTGGTTGGTTAGCAAAGCATAGTTATTATGTAAAATGTATAGCAATTTTTTTCTTTTTTGGTTTCAGATGAGCCGTTGGATTCAGCTAATAATATTCGGTATCGCAATAGGCATTGCGAAATCGGCCAGTTTTGTGAAATTAGTTATTCTAGCCGGTCTGGGTCTTGCCGGTCTCTGGATGGTACACACTTTAGCTCAAGATTTCAGCCATATAGCCCAAAACGGTTTTGGTAGCGCTGGTGGAGGAGATCATGGTTCAGGAGCGAAATATTATAGTCACAATCACGGTATTTACATTTTAAATTATGTCTGCAGGTGAATAATTTTTCCAAAGGATGTTTCCTTTGATAAGAGAATCGAAATTTAAAATATTGAATGCAAAATTATTGATATTTGGATAAAAAAGATGATTGTAATGATAGAATCGAAAAATCAAAACTTTCCGAGGGGCGGCTCACTCTCCACAAATTGTACATCGATTTCGGAAATGGCAGAGATTTCCACAACTTTTAAGGGATTTCGAGATTTAAAAAAATTTCGGATATTCGACTTTCAACGCCATACCACTAAGGGTTTCGAATCGATAAATGTATTGGGATTTCAGAAGAATTTCGGATATGATTTCCGGAGGAATTCGCATTTCGAGATTTCCGAAGGATTTCGAATTTCGCGGGATTTCGGATGAAAATGTGCATACAGCGATGAGCCGCCTTTTGAGAATTCCACAATGTTCAGTTGAATTTCAGCTCCTTTTCGACCAGCTTTTGCCCAAGTTTACTTTGATGGCAGAAAAATCAAAGTTTTAGTTTTTCAATTTTTGGCAATAGGAGCGCCGAGAATATAATTTGTATGGCTATCTTGTTTCTAAAATTCAAACATTCTAATTGAGCTGGGTAAGAGATTATTACAATTTCTCATCTCAATCTGAGATGGTTAAACAAGCTTCCTGACCGCTTCTAGCCCAACTTTACCCCTTGAACGAACAAGATCAAAAATCAAAGTAATATACACTTTTCTAGTTCAATTTTTAGCATTAGGAGCGCCGAGAATAGAATTTTTATGCCATTCTTTTTCGAATTTTAGCTCTAGCTGGAAATGAGATTTTTACAAATTCTCATTCTGAGATCGAGGGTCAAGCAAGCTTCCTAGCTCCCAATTTTACCTCTTGAATGATCAAAAATCAAAGTTATATACACTTTTTTAGTTCAATTTTTGGCATTAGAATCGTCGATAATAGAATTTTTATGCTTTTCTACTTTAAATTTTAGCTTTAGTAAAGCTGGGAATAACAATTTCCAAGAAACTTCCTAACTACTATAACTTAAGCTTTAGAGAGGCCACAAGGAAAAAATTCTAATTCCAAGTAGACCAGTTCATAGTAGGTACGATTAATTCCGAATTTGTAACTCCAAATTTTAAGCTGATAATGTTCAACAGTTTCAGCCTAAATGTAGGATTTGAACCTTTCCTGACAACCGGTCAAAGGAGCCCCCTAACTATTTGTCAAATATTTCGAGAAAACCTTGATTCTGAAAAATAGAAAAACGTGGTCGCTCTGCATTGTTTTACAAAGTTTGTTTCGTTTCATCATTATTAAGGTAATAACATATTTCCCTTTACTACGAAAGAATCTTCTCCTTATTAATGTAGCGCCCGCCCTTGGTATCACTGTATAAGATGTTGAGTGTTGACGAGCGGTTTCCAATTTATTACAGATTTTTACCAGAGTGGCTACAGTGGTAGGGTTCGTAATAATAATATAACAATAAATTAAAATTATAAATTTGCCTCAAGGTGAAACGTTGAAGAGATTAAATTAATGAAAATAATTTTCTAAATAACCGAGCTCGTCTTTTTGTGAGTCATTACATTAACATTTTGCAAATTCAATATTTTATACTTTCGTAAATATATGATTTGTCAAATTTGAAACCAAAATATTTTTTTTAAAAAAAGATGTTGCCTTAGACCAAGAAATCAAAGTATACAAAAGATCCATCGAAAATAATCCAGAAGCCAAAATAGATTGGGAAACCGTAATAAAACGAGATCCAGCCAGCTGTGCCAGAAGTTTCATTTGCCAACTAGCAGCTTCAAAAGAGTCAACTTTAATAAAAGAAGAAAGAATTATTTTAAATTTGACAAGGTTAGTATTAGGTGGATAATTAATTTATTAGAAAATGTTTTAACATTGTTCTCTTCAGAGCGGCTGCTGGTGACGAAACTTGGGCGAGTAAACAATTACAAGAAGCTTTGAAAAATGGTAATACCATGTCCAATCCTCAACAGTGCATGAAAATGTACAAGTTTTGTCCTTACACGAAGACGATGATGATGGCTTTGATGACTGCGTTTGGTAATCGGTGACCTAAAAAGTTGTAATTATTTGAAGTATGGGACAAATGATAGAAGCATTTAAATTAGAAATGTATATATTGTATAAACTTTTTTGTCTTCAATGTAATATATAAATAATAATATTTATTTCTTTATAATTATATGAAAATACTACCAGTTTACGCCTCTTTTAAGAGCACAGGAAATAGTAGAGAGGTTTTCTGTGTGAGGTGCACCAAAATAGATAGGTACCTATTTACTTAAGTCCGAAACATTAACTTTTACAGTATGAGCGAGATGTCAATGAGTAAAATGTTGGCAAATTTTGAAATGAATATTGTAACAGTTTTCCCGGACGAATGACGTGAAATATTTTATTTCCGGTAAACTTAATTTACCGGACTGTAGAAATTCACTTTACGGAATAAAATTGTGGTTCGTAAAGGTGCGTTTTACGATACAGTATGAAATGAAAATTATATCCTTCGAGCGTGCTGAAAAAGACAATTTTCCTGACTAAAGCCTAGTACTCATAACTGCGAAATTCGCATTTTTTTGACATTTCGTTGACAATTTGACGTTTTATGCGTGTATCAAACGTCAAATTGTCGAAGCAATGTCAAAAAAATGCGAATTTCGCAGTTATGAGTACTAGGCTTAATGTGGGGAAAAAAAGGCACCAGTATCGGCGCTTGAGAATAATATAGGCAATCCTCTTTGCTTATAATCCTTGGTTTGTATCTATCGTTCGTCGGCTGTCATTGTCATTGGATGTCTTTCTCCATCTCTCTACGTTATATCTTTCTTCTCTCTCGTCTCTCGTGTAACGATTTGCCAAAACGTGACGTTGCGTGACTCGTCTTCCATATCACTCATAGATAAATATCACTATTCAATCTCGTCCAAGTATCAAATTGTCATTGGCTTTCTTTTTCCGTCTCTCTACGTTATATACTCCCCAGAGCCAGGGAGTACGAGGCTTTAACAATAATAGACTTGAGACACCAATTGGATAGGCTTGAAAGCCCGTAATTGGATCAGCAAATGACAAGATGTCAACTCATTTGCTCACGGTGAGGTTTTAGTGGGTATGCCCTCTCTTCATTGCACCAAGAAGAAGAGGGAGAGCCCCACACTACCCAGTTCAGGCGAACTGGGTGTGCATAAGGCGCATTTCCTCACCTTACCAAAAAAAAAAAACGTTATGTATTTCTTCTCTCTCGTGTAACGAAATTTTATAAATAATCAAGCATAATCGATTATACTGGATTAGGTATGTGATGTGTCAACTGTGGCATATTCCTCTAACGCCCCAACCATCAAATTCTGGGATACTCGAGGATTAAGAACACTCAATTTCTTCTGCGAGAACAGACGTAAATCACCTTTTCTATATTTAAAATCGACGAAGAAATTAACTCACTAGCACAGCCTGAATCGCGAGCATTCTATCTAGGTCTGTGGGTGACGTCATCACTACAAGCTGCTAATAGTGACGTCACTCGCAGGCCCAAAATTTGATGAGAAGGGAGTTAGGGGAGTATGACACAATTGAAACATCACATAACCCAGCATGATCACATTATGCTTGATTATCCTCGCGAAAAATTGCCTAATGTTTCGCATTTAAAACATCTTCGAATGGGGAATGCAATCCTGATGCAACTGACAAAAGTGATAGACTTGACAGAAATAAGGATATCAATAACCGGTGGTTAAAACCGAAAAACCGGGTGTTTTCTCTTCGGTTAACCGGTTAAAACCTTTGTCTCCAGCTAAAATTACCAAAATTTTATTTTTAATTTAAGGGTCTTTGTATGCCATTATTTATGGAACATCACATCGTTCAAATATCCACCGCGGCTTCTCAAGGAGGCATGGAACCGACTGGTCCAATTTTCAATTACTCTGCCGCATACATCCGGCTGAATTTGAGCGATGGCCTGGGTTATGTTCACTTTAAGGGCATCGGTCGATTGCGGCTTATTGGCATAGACCTGAGACTTCAGAAAACTCCACAAGAAGCAAGGGCGGTTTAAAGGGGGGGGTAGAGGGGGTAATTACCCCCCCAGACAAAGATTTTTTTTGAACACTTAAGAATAAAATTTCAACAAAAGACAAGTTCTATAAAGTAAAGCATAGAAGGCATTGTATAAATTGATAGGCTCACCAGTATCGACGTACAGTTGCGATTAAAAAAAAGTAGTACAAGCAAAATCTCCAAAATTTCCTGGTCTATTATACATTAATTTAATTCATAACCAAAAATGACATATTTTTGGCATTTTTCGACAAGTTTTTAACCTAGAAAGCTTTAGATGACATTATTTTGACATTTTTCCACCCGTTTTTAACCTAGAATATGTCATTGCCTGTCAAATTTTTTTATGTTACACCGGGAGCTCAAATTGGAGCTAATAATTTTTGTACTACTTTTTTTTGATCGCAACTGTACCTACTACTATACAGTGAAATAAAAGGTATTTCATTTGAAAAAAAAGCTATGGTTGTTTGAAATATCTGGTTTTGTGTACAGTTACAGTATTGCGAACACCCTATAGAATGTTATCAGATTTTCATAGGACCATGAAGTAAATGTAAGTATACACTAACAGCCTGCAAAAGATTTAGCTTAAGGATCTCAAATGAATGAAATGTGTTGGTTTTTGCTGATACATGCATTGACACTGACACATGCAAACTGCGATTTTTTTTTAAAGTTTCAAATATTTCAAAAAGTACTTGAATGTAGAAATTTTCCTGCATTCGAATACATGAAATCTGAATGTTTTTTTATGCAGATAAATTATGCGAACACTTGTAGCGTCACACCGGCTAAACGCCGAAATGCCAGCCTCCCGTTCGTTCAGTCCTCAGTGAACCGTGCCCTATACTTTGAGTGGTTGCCATTCGCTCTAATGAGATCGTGGACATTTGTTTTGAAAAATTCTTGCACGTGTTAAAACTGTACTTCCAAAGCCGGTATGACGTCACAGCCTAGGCGTTCGTAACTTGTGATGGGTTCAAATTTCAATCCGATTATTGGCTTGATTTCAATACAGTAAATAAATTCATGATCAATATTATGCAATAAATTATCAGTCATGAGCACAGAGTCAGAAAGTGGGACGCCCGTTTTTTCCTATTGTAAAACGGGTTCACCCAGCTATACCTAAGACAATGACAGGAATTGTCATATTTGACAAAAAATCCATTGAAAAGAAAAGACTGATTTACGCAAAATAGACTGATTTATGCAAAATTACAAGACCTGTCAGTCGAGTGTCCCACTTTTTGGGTTAGTGCGAACTTCGATTTTTTGAAAAAGTTTCAAATATTTCAAAAAGGGTCGAGTTTTTATAGAAATTTATAGATTTGCTCACAGATGTGCACATAATTGATCCATTAGCGTAGGTATAGTATAGGTAGTTATATATAGGTATAGGTAGTTCCTAAGAAAAAGTATATAGGATTGTTAGAACAATCCATTAATGTTCTAAAATGTAAGGTGTTCCATTTAAAATAACAAAGGTCTATCACATACCTCATTTACGGAACACCCTGTGTATATTCAAAAATATTTTAAACTACTAATGGATCTTAGAGTATCAAACAACTTTGTAATTTAATTTTTTTTTCTTGCATTACCCTGAAAGGAGATATCGTCTACTAAGTGGACATCCTGTATAACTATTTTGCCGGCATCGGGATACATTTTTGCTTGAGGTGTGTTTCAGACGATTTTCAGGTGCAAATTTGGACGTGGCACCCTTAAAAAAATTTCGCCTCCGGCAGGAAGCCATTTGACACTTAATGATTTTCCCGTCATCCATTACCCCCCCCAGAAAATCATCTATGGACCGCCACTGACAAGAAGTAGTCCAAAGGGGTCAAATCGTACGACCTTGTCGGCCAATTTACGTCACCTCTGCGAGAGATAATCGTACCCTCAAATCGTTCATGCAGCATATTCATCGTGGCGTCCGCTGTGTGGTACGTAGCACCGTCCTGCTGGAACCACATGTCGTTCACGTCCATATTGTTTAGTCTGGGCCAAAAGAAATCGGTAATCATGGTTCTGTAGCGGTCGCCGTTGACGGTGATGGCCTCACGCGCGCAACGTTAGGACTAGCGAACAATCATTTTGATAATACAGTTTTATCATTTGGACGTGCTGCTCAATCGTGTAACTTGCCATGGTAATTTGGCATCAGTAACTGAATAATAAACAACAGGTTAAACAAAAGCTTTGGAAACAACATGGCCGCCACAGGCTGCCAACTTCGACCCGTCCCAATTGAAAAACCCTTTATAACTGGATAACCGGGCTTTGTACCTAATAACCGGTGAAAGTGAAAAAAAGAAACATCTTATTTCTTGTCTTATTAAGGGCGGGTATTATAAAACTATTTTGACAGATAGCTAAAAGTTGACTTTTGGAATTACTAGGCTGAGTTCGGCTTTTCGGCTTCGTTCGAGCGTATTTAATCGCTTGGGGTGCGTTCACTTTAGACGTCGAACGACGTCATAATACGCGCCGAATATCGTTCACTTTCGACGTCGAGTGAAATTTGTTAGCGTTTAGTTTGATGTAAAATCGTATTTTCGCGACGAATGAAGTTCATCAATAGTTCGTCTTGTGACGTCATGAGTTTGAACGCTGGCTAGAAGCTGCGTCCATGCTTCCGGCGAACTACGTTCAATATGACGTCATGAAATCATGGAAGTAGTTCGTCGCGAAAATTCGGCTTAAGATAACGTCGGGCGACTTGTTATCAAGGATGATACACACCTACAGGATTGCTTATCGGCCTCGTTTTTAGTAATCGCAGCCATATTGGTGTGTCACCACACAAAACATCCCCCCTTAGAAAGGTAAGTACCATGTTGAGAACCTGTCTATAAGTTTTCAGCGCCTCTAGTGACTGGAGGGGTCAGCTTTTGTAATTCTGGATTTATTGGCGAATGCAAAACGCAATTAGGGTTCGTTCGGTATCTTATTCGTTCCGGTGGATTGTTTGCACCATTGTTTGATTCTAGCGATTCAACACCACCACTTTAAAGTTTCTACTATTTTTTGGCATAAAATAATAATGTGCCAAAAAGAAGAAACTCATAAAATCGGTAGCGTTGAAGCGCCTTCAAGG